CCATCTTTGCAGTGAGTCTGTGCATGCTTCACTATTCTGTGCCCGAGAAACTCTTTATCACACAGCACACAGTACTGCATGTACGCCTGCCAGTTTCGGAACCTTGTAGATACAAAGCCCTTCTCCCGCAGCTTCTTCAGCTCTCGGTTCTTCTGCTTCTGATCAGAGAGTTCAGACAGCTCAATAGACGCATCCAGAAACTGTTCCGAAGCATCCCTGAAACTTTCACTCAAAGTATCGTCTAGGTCTCCGTCATTCAGTTCATCAATTGAGGAGACGATAGACGCCTCCTCTCCCATCAGACCTAGACAATGTCTCTTCAATGCCTTCCAGTTCCAGAACTCTGGGTCGAAAGGCCACTGTGTCTTGAGCACCAGGAGCAGTTCGCAGCGTAGGGAGTTGGACACCGGTAACTCCTCAACATCCAATTTTTGATCCGGCTCATTGTAGAGCGCCTCCATGGCATAGTAGGCATCGACGTTTGGCTCGGATAGGAACTGAGTCAGCTGGCAGGCCCTCTTCACCTCCAGGTCTGAGGGCAGCAGGCAGGAGATGGTCTTGCAGACTGTGGCTTTGGTGCTTCCTTCACAGTTCAGACGCAGAGCTTGAACACAGATCTCCACACAGGTCGACAGGCCAGCCTTGTCCATCTGGAAACATACAAAGGTATTAAGGCAGGAGTAGGGATAACTTACTGCAAGTCAGTTCCTGAAGCCACATATTCAGTCTACTCTGTTCCATTAAAGCCTGCAGAGCTCACATTCAACCCTCAGAGAAAGCCTTAATTAGTGACATTAGGTTGGTTTGACCAATTTTCATACGAATGGGTCCTGTACCCTCATTCATAGTCATTTCTAAACCTAGTCTGAATGTTTAGCCTCTACACTGAAACCCAGAGAGCCGCAGAATAGCCCTTCACTCATGCTCACCTCTGACTGAATGACTTTGATGAAGAAGAGCAGGTGAAAGACAGTCTTGCAAAGCAGTGACATCTGATGACATTTCTCCAGAAAACTCGACTCGTTTGGCTCTAAACGCTTCAACAGCTTGCCCCAGAACAGAGTCAGCTCCCTGATGCACACAATCACCGCACAGCTTAGTGATTACATCCATTATTTGTTCCTCTCTGGACCAGACCCAGATCACGTACCATGAGCAGTAGGCTTCCTCCAGCAGTATCTGTCGAGTCAAGAAGCCTGAGCAGAGGGTGAAAGCGGACTCCTCGTCTCCATCCGCCTCCAGATTACAGATCATCTCCAGAGCATCCGCACAATCCACAGAGGAGAGCTGCAGAGACGGCCAGAGGTTTGAGGAATCACATCTAGAGCGTACTTATCGGGAGCAGCTAGTGTCGCTTTACCTGCTCCAGGATCTGTGCAGGAGTGGCGCCGCTGCACACACACACCAGCTGCATCTGTCTGAAACTCTCATTCTCCTGGAAGAAATTAGCGCAGGCCTGAGCCAAAGACGCACCCTCGCTCACTCGAGACTGCTTCAGCAGCTGCTTGATCCTCAAACGCAGCAGAGCTGGCCCTTCCAGTGACAGGAACTCACAAACTGATGACAGAGAGAGAACAAACAGACATGGTTTGTCTAGGTCGGTGTTCCGTAGATATGTATGTTATGTACAAACTGCGAAAACTGTACTGCACGAACTGTAACAAACTTATATGGTATGTTCAGGTAGGTATTATTCCCACTTTCCCCCTCGCCTACCTTTACCCCTTATCCACTCCCTACTTTCCTTTTAACACCCTCCTGTCCTGATGTAATTAATGCCAACTGGTCCATGGGAAAAATAACTAATAAATAAGTACATAAAATCACTGCTTCCATCCAGAAGAAAAAAAACAAACACCACACCAGGTGTTCACTCCCCTTGAGATAACAAAATTAAGTCTAACTCAAACAAAGAACCTACTCCCCCACGTGGTGGCTTTTGAACAGGGCAAAAAATAAAATAAATAAATAGAAAAATAAAATTTGTTCAGAGTAATCAATGCCTAAGTTACCAAGAGCACCATCTAACGGTCAAAAATCATAAAATGTGAAATGGTGCTCAATTCGATTAGTTTTTTTAATCAGTTTCCCTACCGCTCAACCATATGTCTCTGTTTTTCTGTTCATTGTTTATCGTTTATTCAACTAACGTTTTGCTTTCTGGATGCTTGACCCGTTGCATCATTGCTTGCAGTTATATTTTTAATTGGAGGGCAATCCTAAACAAGCTGAATAACAGTAAGAGCAAGAGAAAATTTTGTACATTAGTGACTGGTGATGAGGCTTATAAATGACTCATAATATCTGTTTTTTACTCCGCTAACAATACCAATAGCATAAAGGAAACTTTAGAATCACTGCAATAAACATTTTATATTCAATCATCATTACAGAAATCATACCGTTCACATGAGGAAAATGGTAAACACTTAAATTAATTAAACCATAAAAACAAACAGTAACTGCATAAATCGGTAAAATAACATACATTAAGGGTGTTCTGATCAATAGGCCTGCCATTGATTATGATGATCGACTGATAATATTCACAGTGTCAAGAGCGATAGGAGGTCCCCCAGAGCACTGATCAGAAGAGCCAATGTTTCATCCCACGAAAGATGCTTTTACGAGCAACCGAAAATGGCTTCACCGGTCTTGGCAACACTTGGTTCCTGGGTGCAAATGCTTCACTAATGAGTGCCGTCCGGACTTGTAGGGTGAAGAAAAGCAATGTTTTTATAGATCATGATGGTCGTCTGGCCCCAACTATACTGGATGTATATGTGCTAGACCAAGAGCGAAAAACCGAGGCACTCTAACATCAAAGTAAAGAAAGAGCAGAGCTACACTAAACTAGCGAGCGCCATCACCTGCTTCCTGTGTCGAGGGCTTCTGTGTGAGTATGTCCTGCAGTGTAGGGTGAGTCCAGACCCCTGGCCCCTGAGTGATTGAGGACAGGAGGGAGAGCGAGTCCAGTCCATGCTCCCGCACTAGTGCCACTGCTATCTGCGGATAGAAATCCAGAATCAGACAAAGAGAACGATGGAAGTGAGACCTTCTCAATGAAACAATTAACAACTCCCCTGAGTTTAGGATCGCTTGCTTTCTAAACATTCTTCTTTTGACTCCCCACACCATTAAAGCTTAAGTGGAGCAGCATGAAAAGCTCATTCCACAACAAAGCCAGAATCTTTAACAGATTTCTGATCAATTTCTAAGGTGTTTATGAGGTCATCTCCTCAACTAATAACTCAAGTTCTTCTGGATTTAAATGAAAGAGAGATTAGTTCTGGGTGCGATGGAACGGATGTGCTTCATGAGGGGCATTGAACCATCACTCTTTGCACATTACTTGGTTCCCATCTTTTAAATTTCTCAGCATCAGAGTTTGATAGAAGTTGAGAGGGCTTTGTTCCATTATCAGTGCTGAAGCTTGTAAAAAAAAAAAAAAAAAGACAAGGAAATGGCTGAGCAAACCTGGACAGTACAGTCAATCTGAGCGGTCACTAATGTAATGTCCTGCAGTTTAAAAAGCATCAAACATCTGTACTGCTGCTGTGCTTATGGTGCTTTCTGTGTAGATCGAGAGATGATCTGAAGAGATTTCAGACTCCATTCCCTGTGTCCTGTGAGTTTCACGTGGTCTGTTTGAGCATGCTCAGTGTGAGCGGACGAGTGGAGTCTGCTGGCAGCGCTGCTTCAACCGCGATGAGAGGCAACAAGAATTCTGGTTTGATTTTCTTACGACCGTCCGATTGCTGATCGAGAGGGTTTAATCATTTCTCACGACACACGATTAGCTGAAGATTCTGCCGTTCTCCAAAATAGGAACACAACTGAATAATCGGCTCAGAAATCACAGTATAAGCCCAGCTTTAGTTCAGTTGATAAATTCTTGCGTTTTGACTTAATTGACCTGTTATTTAGCTAAACCCTGATAGCGCCAGGAACCTTCCCTTGGAGCTTCAACTCATCTGCTCCATTTGAGAATTTATATCAATCAAAAGTTTTTCATGAGTTAAACCAAACATCCCTACAGGGTCAAACCAAACAGACCAACAGAGATTTTCACAGGGAGAACCTGACGGTCCAGTGTGAATTAACAGAATTTGTAATCAATAATGTGCTAAAATGAGATTTGGGTCATTAACAACTTGAGTCACTCTCTGCACCTGGGATCAGGTTCCTCTTCTGGTTCTCATATCAGCTGTGTTCTGAACGGTAAATCCTGAAGCTATGTCTCTGTTCAGTTCATAACACTCTTCTATGTAAAAAGAACATGACTGGATCTAGACGAACACATTGTGCCTAAACGGACCATTGTGACCTTGTGAACCACAAAAATAGTGACGATGAAACCTCTGGCCTGAGGGGTCACGTTGAACACCATTGGTGCTGCGTGCAGCCAGATGCCATCACAAATCATCACTGAAACTAATGAGATGCTGGTGCTAAAGCTGCATTTACCTGGACGGACGCCGTAAACCGATCCCATTGTGCATCTTCAATGTTCCCAGGAAGAGAGAGCAGCAGCTCCACACAACTCCTGCAGGAAGAAGACGAATACTTTTTACTTTGACACTCAAAGAGAAATAGGGAGAACAGTAGAGAGGAAGTAAAAGACAAGACTGGTTCCACACAGACTTTTTAAACGAAACAGGTTGTCCTGCCTGAGGGTTCCAAAGAGTTTCCCTGGTATCTTTACCATCTGTTTCAGAACCCACTCAACTCATAACCCACATCATATTCATATGCAGCGCTTCTGTTTAAATTGGGAACTGGTTAGGAACAATTCCCTCAGAATACGTGGTTCTTGGGTATATCTCCCAGTCACATTGAGCAACGGCTGTAACTGTGAAAAGTTTGCCTCTCTGACCTTAGGCTTGATATTGTTATGTTCTGGTTCCTCGGCTCTGGCACGACGAAACACGCTCCATAAAGACAAGGTCTCAGCAATCAGGGTCTCAATACTTTTCCACTTGGTGAGAGGGTTCAATGCAAGTCATGGCCTAGTGGATAAGGTGATTGACTGGAGACCAAAGGGTCGTCGGTTTGATTCCCAACTCCACTGGGAGATGAGGGTGGGATGAGTGTTGAACCTGGTGTGTGTTCACGGTGTGTTGGTTCACTGCTGTGTGTGTGTGTGCACTTGGATGGGTTAAATGCAGAGAACAAATTCCTTGTATAGTCACTCCTTACTTGGTCGTAATGTCACTTTTACTTTCAACCAGACCCAGGACCCAAAAGTGACATAAATACGGGCAGCATGGTGCATTACTAAAAGTCACAATAAAGACACTGTTTAATGCGAAAACCTTAAAAAAAGCTACTTCGGGTTCTTTATGCATTAGCATATTGTGTTTTTCATTGGGTAAATCAACTTTAAATTAATTTCGTTCATTAGTTGATCTCCGTTTATGATGGCGCAGTTAACAGATGAGCAGCAGATGCACAATTAAACAAAGAAGCCAACCATAGAGAACTACCTGTGCTCCCAGTGTTTCCCCTACCGTTAAATATGGAGGGGGGGGGGGGCATCTCATTTGTATGCTCAAAAGGGTCTTCATAAGAAAGATAAACTCTCAGTGATCTATAAACAAGATATTTCTAAAAGAGAACACAGTGTGTTCACCAGACCACTAAAATAAGCAGTGGATTTATTTACGGATTTGCTTTTTTCAACAAATAAAGCTTTTTGCTTGTTTCCTTTGATACACAGCCTAAACAGAGGTCTTGTTTGATTAAAAAAAATCGATTACATTTCAAATTGAGCTGGGAAAAGCAAAACTGTTGATTAATGTGTGAAATGTTATCCAGAAAATTGCTCACTCGTCCAAATTAAAGACCCCATATGGATACAGAGCCATATCACAGTTGATCTACCTCATGGGTCTATGGCTTGCCATTTATTTATATTACAATGTTAATTCTAAAGGTCATTAGCATGATGCCAGCATTGATCAGTACACCCAAAATCACTACGCTAGCAGCTCATTGGCATGGTACAAGCATGAATTAAGCAATATGAAGCTAACAGGAATTAAGATTACATTATAATGATGTCGTCTCATCATTCAAAGCCAATTTACAGCAATAACTCTTCTCTAAATTATTAGGAAATGGAGATAACATCTAGTCATGCACAGCAACACCGATATAAAGATTTTTTAATGTTATTGTCATGATAATTATTTTGAATAGTGCACGAATAACAGGAATAAAAAGTGTGTTCGTTATGTAAAACAATAAAAGGACTTCAGTTGTGTCTAAATGAATCTGAAATATATGAAAGTGTAATGTTTATCAATATATTACAGAAAATAATGAGCTTTATCACATAATGTTAATTTATTGAGAAGGACCTGTAAATTGAAAAATAGTACAAAACATTCAGTGCTTTTGGTTTGATTGAAATTATTGTTAAAAAAAAAACTTTCAGAATCTGGTTAAACAAAAAAACAGAAAATAAATGAATTAATCAATAGATTATTTTACTATGATTTGACTGGTCCGGCCTCCAGAAGCTCAAATTGTGCACCATGTGTTTGACAGCCCTGGTCTAATGTCTAAACTTTACATTAAAAAGCCCTAAGGATTTAAGAGTTTAAACAGCTTTTGAAACCATTGAACACATTGTAACTGTTGTACAGAGCACCAGTGTCGTGCTGAGAGCTCCAGACAAAAGCTAAATTAAAGGAAGTGTAACTAGGGTTAGCTTGGGTTCAATGTGAGCGGTGCAGATTGCAAGAAAGAGGAATAAAAGGTATAAATGTACTGTGTGCAGAGCAGAAATACGGTTCTGCTGAACTTAAGCAAACACCACCACAATCATTCCCCACAGAACTTTCCAGTGTTTATTAGCTTGTCGTATTCTAGTTATAACTGTTCAAGGAAAATCTCTACTATTTGGAGAATGGGAGTGTGTATGGAAAAATAGAACTCTACTCAGTTTTCTTGTCATTCTTCATTGGTTTCTAGTGAACAAAACTCTGCAGCCACTGTAACAGACTTTTTTAAATTTGTTATTTTATTGGCCTCATGATATCATTTGATGTAAATGCAACATTTTTAGCCAGAGCTAAAAAACAATGTTTGGGTTGAACTTTGTGTTAAATGTGTTGGAACTCTGAATCAATGACCGGATCAGAGGAAAGGTGGACATCTCTCAGTGGAGCTAACGATGAAACTACTGTAGTCACTCAGATATGAGGAAAGCGTTCACAACTCACAGTGAGAGTCTCTCCAGAAGCACCGGCGCCTCCGCTGATGGAGGTGAGAGCAGAGGCGATGATGATGATGATGAGGCTTTGGCGAAGCTCAGCAGGGCAGTGGTGTAACCCTCTAGCAGAGGGAGAGGGTCCTCCTCAACCCGAAAGAGCGAGGAGTAAGCCAGTAGCGCCTGCAACACAAACAGAGCAAACAGCTCAGCTGCAGCAGAGGTCTGCCATGGTTCTTTCAAGCAGTTTAGAACCGACAGATGCACAGATCAGTTCGATTTCCTGCAGACGGTCTTAGAAAAACATTTGACTGACAAGTTCATTACAAAGAGATCAAGAACAGACCGAATAGCTTTTGAGTGCACACTTTACACTTTATTGCATGACCCTAAACCTATTTTAGGGTTTTAACAGCAGACTATTACATGTAACTCTTGTTTAAAACAAGTATTTTGCAGAACGATGTCTTGTTCTGTTAAAGGCTGGTGCAGGCTCTAAATGTAACTCTAGAATAAAGGGAGCCGACGTCTCTTTTTTTCAGATTTTGGCTAAAGGATGGATAAGTGATAAAACACAAACTGCTTGAACCCGTGACCGAGAATATTTAAATATTAGGATTTAGGGCCAAGTGTTCGGTATACAGTGAGAATGAAGTTTATTTTTTGCTGGACAGCGAAACTGGTGCTTGAATGCAGCTGAGCTCTAGGGAAAGAGACCCTGCTGCAGACTGAGACAGTACTAAGAGCTACACCCTGCTGTTTCAGTTTCACGGTCCAAGACGAGCACTTCCCATTAAAAAAAAACACAATACTTCACATGTGCTAAAAGAACTGTGTTAAATACTGATACAGCTGATGAGCTAATGATCACACCGATCAAAATGACGAGTATCGTTAAGTGATGGTGAGAGCACAGAGAGATGTTAAATGACGATGGCGCGCAAGAGTCTCTTTGTAAGGTTCTAGGAGCCAGACCGAGCCGAACCCCATAGACGTAGTTCATCCTCTAGCTCTGTCTGATTTTGTTTTGCTTAGTGTTGAGTGCGGCTGACGCATTTTTTGTGAGTGTCTATGGCCGTGTTTACGCGACGCTGGCGTTCTGAGCTCACCTGACAAAACTCGTAGCAGTACTGCGCTGCTCGTTCTTCGGCGGCCTCCGGGCTGTTGTTAAACGCTTCCGTTAACGATTCGAGCCGCGTAGCGAGGGCGGTTAAAGCGCTGGACGAGTCAGTCGACTCGCTGCGCTCTTGTTCGGCCTCCTCGTCCGCCATCTTCACTAACAGTTCCGCCGCGTACGCACCGCACGTCACGTAACAGGAAAGCGCTGTGCGTCATGACGCTCTCTCTAGTCACGTGTTTAAATAGTGACTCAATGCCTGCGTCCCGATTGGTGATTTTTATGGGAGCTATTGTGCTTTGATCCAAATAATGACCAAAAGAAATTCTGCAAAAATAAAAATTTCTCAATTTTGACAAAATGAGTATTGTAGTAGGTTAAACAAGAGAACAGTTGTGTGTGACCTGATTTTGGTGGTAATAGAGCAATTGAGCTTTGATCCAAATAATCAAGAATAAAAATGATGCTCTAATAAATATATATAAAAAAAATTATTGAAACTGAATCGTGTAGTACAATATACAGGTGAGGAGTGGCGTGTTGCTTGATTTTGGTTGTAATAGAGCAATTTAGAATGAAGTTATGAAGCATATTCTGGGTAAAACATATTTTGGATCTGGTAATTTGCAGACGGTCCCTAAGCGATTCCATGTCAGCGGGTTGCTCATAGACGGTAATGTGTTTCTGCGAATGAAACTTGTTTTGATAAAAAAACGTATTGTAGTTTGTCCGCTACATAAGACAGATTAAAAATAGGTATTATTTGTTTACTAAGAACATTCTGGTCTCGAGCTATTGAGCAGAGAAAACCGAATCCGTGAATCTGCAGATAACTTCACTGAACTTAGCAGGTATATGGTATAGAAAACACAAAACCATATAAAGTCATATAATGTTCGGACTCGAGTTCAGCAATGCAGTCGTTTACATCAAGAAATAGACAGCATATAATTAATGAAACATGAAACAACTGGTTGGTTGCCACCCGACATAAAAAAAGACCAAGAAGACAGTCCTCAAGTCAGACACGAGAGGGCGCTAATGCTGTGTGTCAGACAGGGAGCAGCTGCGCAGAGAAGAAGAGTCGCTCCTGATCTGACCCGAACATGTTCACGCTCTGCCCGTCCCGCAACTGTAAGTCTTGAGTTTAACGTTATAATTACCGTGTAACGTAGAGATTCTGTATTGAGGGGTTTAGAATTGTTTTCGAATTATGTTAACGAAAATGTTACGAGGGCCATATTGAATTCAATCGCGATTGTAGACATAATATACTGAATTAAATATAAAAAATATACAAGTAATTATCCCATAAGAACAGCATGTTTGCACAGCTGAAGCGGTAAATGTTTTCATGTTACTGCTAAAATACATGGAGGACCAAAAATTATCCAACGTAAGCATAAATAATTGTGGAAATAAATAATTATAAATAAATTATTAAATAAATTATACATAAAATAATTAATTCTTTCATTTTCCAACCTGCTTATTCTTTTTCGGGGTCACGGGGGTCTGCTGGTGCCTATCTCCAGCGAGAGGCTGGGGAACACCCTGGACAGGACGCCAGTCCACCGCAGAGCAACACAGTGGTACCCCGAGATACGAAACTAATCCGTTCCAGGGTGACATCGTATCTCAAACATTTCGTATCTCGAAGCAAGCTTTACATGTAAAATGTCCAATCTGTGCAACGGCTCTCAGAAACAATAGAATAAGTTGATTTAAAAAAAGGAAA